ACACAGTTGCCACAAAGTCAGAAAGATGACTTATTTCAGGGATGAATCTTCAGAGGAGGCTAATTTTTGTCGTTAATACAATTTAAGTATTCCTCTCTTTAGATTAGGGATAACAAACTTGGCTGTTAAATTCAGGAATTACTCTTCGTTGCCAATCTCTCTTCCCAAACTAAAATATTACATATATGGAAGTAGTAACTTAAAGTTTTTGGTATCGAGGTCATTCTAAGGCACTGAGATTCGGACTTTGGTATGTATAGGATTCGTTTTCCATGCACTAAGATTTAATTATTGTTTAATTTATTGGTTTTTAGGTTTCTTTCTATGCTCTGATGCGTTTTCGGGTGTGCCAATGGAAGCTTGCATCACTCTTTACTCCAAGCGTAAGTATGCTCTGCATTAGCTTCTTCTGTTCCATTGGTTATTATGGGTTTTGACTTTTGAGAAATATACAACAATTTAAAACCAGGTTTTGTTGTTGATTGGTTCGGTTTGTATACCATATTTTGCTAAATACATATGACCATAAATAAGACCAAAGGAGCTGGGTTAGCTCCTTTGCCAGCTAGGTTGACTTCGTCTCCTCCCCGTCTTGCGGATTTCCGTTATTCAACGGGTATATTTGAGAAGTATACGGTACTAAAACCACAACCATTGATCTTAGCTTGATCGGTTCTTCCCTAGGATTTATACATAAAAGTAAATTGTTTTGTTTAATAATTTTCCATTGCATGAACTTTCGAGACAACAAGTGGACAGGAGTGTAATGTCATCAAAAGTCAAATCAAACACTGTGAGGAACATAATAGACAACGTTGGCTTCTTTCGCAGCTGCTCAACGTTGTCTCTCCCGATGGTCCCAACACTCTCTTCTTCTTTTTTTGTCAACATTCAAACGTTGTTTAAAATAAATAAAAATGTTTAACCTTAATCATCTTTCTAGATCTTTAAATGCCTAAAACTTCAACTTAATCAGTCAGCAATCCGTCACGTTAATGATTTTGAAAGGAAGACTTTTGTTTTGTTTCGGTTAGTTTTGTTTGTTTAGTATTTTAATCACAAGATAACTCTAATTTCCCATTAGAGTTGTGTTAATTGTGTTGATTATGATTTGACGTTCCAATTCTGATATTATTTTTATGTTGTAAATCTTAAACTGTTACGTTATTGTTCTATCTTCCTATGTGAGAAAAAAGTAAAATGTTTTAAAATTTTGACATGGATAATAATATAATTGTAAATCTATAATAATTATATAATCATTTTATTTATATTTTTCAAAAAGAAATATATTTATCTTAATAGATTTAATATGATAATGTCAAATATAGTTATAAATCTAAAAGAGTTATGTTATTATTCCATCTTTTATGAGAAAAAAGCAGATATTCTCTTAAACTTTTAAATTAACGTGGATAATAATAAATAAATGATAATTTTACTAATATGATAATGATTCGGTTTTAATCTTACCAAAAAACAAATAATGATTCTGTTTTAAAAATATATAAATTTCCTTTGTTTAGTTGTAGATATTGTCATATAAAAAATTCTTAGATCCTCCACTGCCTTAATTTTATGTAAATACCTTGCTTGATATTTAATTTTGATTTGATATCATAACTAATCCTTGCTTTTTTTTTCGACACTAACCATGAATTT